AAAAAAAAAACGTTTAGTATTCTTTCTTGGAAATCTAGAAAAACAAAATAAAACATTTTCCCAACGTAAGGAAAAATCCCTTAAAATATGCTTATTAATAAACCTGCTAAACTCCTTCCAAAACCTGCGTGTGAGAGAGCAATGCCAAAAAAAGATGCATTACAGCTTCTGGAAGATCACAAAAACTGCTAATATTTATGTCTCTTTAAATTTTACCATAATGTTTAGCAGAGTAAATTTCAAACAAGCAGTTCTTAAATTAATTGTGAGAAAACCGATCAAAAGGCCTTTGAAAAGAGCTTTGAGCATCTTGACAAGATCGAAAGGTGCTATACAAGTACAACCCCTTTAATTAAAAAACAAAATGCAATTGTTATTGAGCATGCATCAGGATAAAATGCAAAAGGTTTAAGAAAATTGCCATTTTTGAAGATTTGATTAAAGTTATTAATGTGATGGCTTCAGCGCCAGCAGGATCCTGTTAGTTCTGGAATGTGACATTTGGCCTTTTAAGAATTACACTTTCAACATTTTACATATGTACAGTTCAATAATACCTTGACACACCCAATGGAAACATTGCGAGTTTGCTCCATAGTAACAAAACCAAAATATACATTTAGAAAAATACAAATATAAACTTTATTGTTTTGGGTATAAATTTAGTTAAAACACTTGGGAGTGGGCATCTTTAGGAGGAGCCACCTTTCCTTGACACCTTGGCCTTTGGGAGCAGGCTTGACTGGCTGTTGGGGAGCACACCACCCTCGGCGATTGTGACTGCTGCCAGCAGCTGGCTGAACTCGTCATCGTTCTTCACAGCCAACAGGATGTGTCGTGGAGTAATGCGCCGCTTCTTGTTGGCCTTGCTGGCTTTTCCTGCCATCTCCAGAAGCTCAGCACAGAGGTACTCCAGGACAGCTGCCAGGTACACTGCAGCACCGGGGCCAGTTCTCTTTGCGTACCTGCCTCTTCTGAACAGCCTGTGGACGCGGCTTACTGGGAAAGTCAACTCTGCTCTGGCAGACTGGGACCTGGCAGGTTTTGGTTTGCGAGCAGATCTTTTTTCTCGGCCGGACATCTTTGGGCTGTCTTTAAAAAAAGCAAAAAAGTAAAACAAACGAGTTTCAGTGAAAGCTAAATCCCCACATGGCACCAAAACAGTTAAATTCACGACATTCTAAAACGAACCCACTCATCAGCTCACAGCACAGTCACTGGATATTAAAAAAATAAAATTAAATTAAAAAAAAATCAAACAGCTTTTTATATCAGCCAACCATTAATCAGTTGATTAATGACACCTGGATCGAATGCTGAGCCTGCGTAAGGAGTTAGAAAAAATAGTCAACGTTTTATTTGTAATTTGTCTCTTAATATGATAAAACCTCAAAATTCAAAGCTATCTAGAAAAAAAAGAAACTCATCTGCATAAAAGGAAGTGCTGTATGTAACTCAGATTATAAACTGCTTGTGCTTTAGTTGATGGTATACTTTTTTTTAATACTTGTTTGATCCATCATCTTGTTTGATGATATGAACTCATGCTTTAACTTTATTTATTTTTCACTTTTAGTGGACACATTCTATGCACTTAAACATCTGTAGAAAAGTTACAAACGTGAGAAATGGTAGCACAGTGTATTAAAAAACCCACCAGCAGATGACAGCACAGGCCACAGATCTCGCATCATCCTGGTAAAAGTTTTTGCTGTTTTATTCAACTTCATTGGGCTTTTTTAAGGACTGATCCTTTTCAGATTTACACAGTTTGTGTGACTTTATTTTGTCCTTGCTCTGTGTGTTCGCAGGAGTGACAATTAATATTCAGCAATCACTCATTTCATGCTGTAGAGTGCTACTTAGTACCAAAGTTCATGCTCAAAAATCCAGGTATAAAATTCAACAATGTTCAGTCCGGTCATCTGAACAGTTTCTTTTTTTGCTGAGACGTTTCGTCCGTCATCCAAAGGACTTCTTCAATCTGAGGAAACACCAACAAACCGAGTCCCACAAACAGCACACTCCCATAGTGGGGAAAAAAAACACTACTTATTACTACTTAGTGTTTATTCACAACAATTTTAGAAACAGTTTTTCATAGAAATGTCTCGTTGGAAGTCTTCTCTGTTATTTACCTGTTATTTGTTGGTACCATCACAAAACAAGGTCTCACAATGTCACCCTCAGTCAGATTAACAGCTTTATTGATCCCAAGTTCACATGCAGCCTACCAGTTAATAAATTAACTTCTGGGGGGAGGGGGATAAAGCAGACTTAAAGAGTCAGTAAATAAACCAGAAACAGAGGTGCTGAGCTGGTGTGGGTCTACTCTTAGCCCTCGTCTTGATGCCTGTGTGTGTGTTGGGAGTTTTCCCCAGTAGATGAGAAGGTAGCTTCCCTGCGCATTCGGGTGTGGGGACAGACTCTGATGGTTGTTTGTGCCTATGCACTTTCAAAGTATCCAGCCTTCTTGAAGTCTTTGGCAGGGGTGCTGGAAGGTACACCAGCTGGGGACTCCTTTATTCTGCTGGGGGACTTCAATGCCCATGTGGGTAATGTAATGACAGTGTGACCTGGAGGGGCATGACTGGGAGGAACGGCCTCTCTGACCTGAACTCGCGTGGTGTTCTGTTGTTGGACTTCTGTGCTACTTGGTCCATCACAAACACCATGTTCAGACATAAGTGCACGTGGCACCAAGATCATAGATCAATGATTGACTTTGTAGTCGTGTCATCTGATTTGTGGCCATTTGTTTTGGACACTCGGATGACGAGAGGAGCTCAGCTGCCAACTGATCACCACCTGGTAGTGAGTTGGATCAGAAGGGGGAAGATGCAGGACAGACCGG